GGCACATCAGTTTTCTTGCAATTTCTTTTTTCGGTAGAAAAATGATGTTGAGGTGGTTTAAAGTTCCATACTTCTGGACTAAGCATTTTTAATGCACGTTGAATGGCACGCTAGTTTTATAGGAATTGCCCGTGGCGCTGAAGTGCGATTTCGCGCAATTCACTTATTTTTTGCGATTATCAACTATCTCATACTGTTTCTTCGCGTTACTAAATAATTGTTCCACGTTGCTACGTTCCGGGGCCTACCATAAATTATGATCCATCTTTCGATCAAGATGGTTGCCATCTTATAACCATGAGTATTATTCGGACCCGTAATAATTCTGAAGAACCGTTACAAGATTTAGCATTTGTTGCTTTACAGTCAAGGCCCTTAATTATCATCAAACACCTTTAAAGTCGAAACGTTCCTTAGGGTTATTATTCATTAAGGTAAAACACAGAAAAAGAGGGCTTTTCCCATGTTCAACAGCCACTGGTGGGGGCGCATATAATGGAACTATATTTCATGTATAAATAAAACTATTTTTATGCATTCTATACTGCATTCAATTCGTCACACCATTGTAGTAACGGTGGTAATAATAAAAAATTTATAACTATTGACATTTCTTCCAATTATGTATTTCTACAAATATCGGCGCGGGGGTCACCAGTGACCCCGGTGACATTCAACGGGTTAAAAAGTCAAATTTAGATTCTTACTATTAGAATGTTTATGCGCAAATACTATATAAGCAGCCATGCATTGCTATCTTTTAAAATGAGTATACGTGTTTTTACTTTATGTTTATATTTTGTTTAATATTTACTTCTTCTTTTGTATTATTATAAGAAAGCTAAATATGTGCCTCGGTAGCGCAGTAGGCAGCGCGTAAGTCTCATAATCTTAAGGTCGTGAGTTCGATCCTCACCCGGGGCAATTTTTTTCCATATTTGTACGAATAGTAAATATTTTGAGTAAAATTGAAATAATTTTTGAAAGTACTTAATTCTTATTAATTGTAGTTCATAACTTATTCATTTATTTATTTATTTAAAGTATTTCTATAATATTAGAATAAAAATTATAGGTAAATTAATTTATATATTCAAAAAGGTTTTTTTTCTATAATGTAATTTTAAAAATGTATAAATACAAAGATAAAAATATAATGATTATTTTTTTCTTCTTCTGACTTCATTCGGATTTTTTTGCATCCAATATTTGACAGGACCTTTCGTTCCTATGCCCAACATAGCCGATTTAGAATGTACGTCGCGCATAATAAACGGAGAATATTCAGCTATACAATCATCTTCTAAAGGATTATTTTTTGTACGTGCTAGTCTTGATGGTCTTTGATGAGGTAATGGTTGATCTTCACAAAGAATAGGATTGTTTGCATGTTTTCCACCTTTCGGGAGCGGCAAAGAAAACTGAAAATTCATAAAACGTTTACATTTTTTATTATTACTATTATTATTCTAAGAATATTAATATTAGCATATGTATTAACAACAATAAAAAAATATGAAATTCATACTCTTTTTCCTTTTTTTGAAATTGGCTTCCGGAAATTGATATGAACTTTTGGTTTTCCTTCATCATTTAATGTAACTGCAACTCTTTTCAATGTCTTATTACCACAACTAGGACAGAAAACTTTTGTCATAATACTAGTAGTTTTATAACACGCGTAACATCTAAAAATGTACGTCCGCATTTGTTTAATTACTCTTCCATCTAATGAAATCACATTTAATCCTATTTGTTTTAAAACATTTTGCATAGCAAAGTCCATTGTTAAACATGCAACAGTTACAGATTTTTGTTCAAGAAAGTCTGAATCAAATTCTTTCTTTATATTACGAATGTTTCCTGAAATAAAGGACACTTTTTATTTATACAGATAGTTATATGAAATATTGAAAAATCTTACCAGGTGTAATCCAACCGCTATCATCATCATTATCATTGCTACCTTCATCATCATATTCATAATTATTATCATTGTTATCATCACTTTTGCCATCTTCATATTCACTATGCTGATCTGTATCATCATAGTTTTCCTTAATTGGAACAAGAATATTATCAATATTATGTTCAATATTATTTCTATCTTGAACTATAAAACTTGTTGAGTCACAAGTTAATTTTGAAAATATTGTAGATAAATCTTTTGTTCTGTCTTGATCTACTTCAGAATCTGCTGTTTCATAATTGGATTCACTAGCATTATATTCCTTATAGTCTAATTCCGATTCTTCTTCTGTTCTTTCATAACTCATATTCTTTATGCTATTTTCCATATTTGTTTCTATCTCATTCTTCTTATTATTTACTATACATTTTTCTTGTTTTGACTCCTCATCATTATATTCTTTTGTATTATCTTCAACAACATCTTTCTGTACATTAAAAGTATGTAATTATTATATTAATCATTTAATAAATTACTACATTAATTTAAATGAAAAAACATTTACATTTTTCTCTGGTATATAAAAGCCAGCTAAGGGTGTACGAAGATCTTCAGTTTTCTCAACATTGGAATCTAGAGTCTGTGCTACCATTGGTTTACTTCTTAAATGATCAGTTCCTATTTTTTCTTTTTCCAGCTGATATGTTAATGCAATTACTTTTATATCAGTAGCTGATAAACTAGTGTAATCACCAGTCTTTTTAGCAAATTCTGTCACTATAAATATGAAATAAAAATTAGTATACATTGAATTTACAATTTAATGTGTTAAGACATTACTGGACAAAAATTAAATCTTTTTACCAAATTTAATGTTTTCAGAATATGCATTTTGTATTTTTAAATCATATGGTAAGACGACAAGTCTTCTTAATTGTCTTTTACTTGTAACTTCATTTACTACATCTTGCTCTGTTATTATATTTACACCAACATCCTGAAATTCATATATCTTTATTATTATATTATTAATATTCGTATAATATTGAAAGATTATATAAAATCAATATTGACAAATATAATTAACATATAATTAATATAAATGTTACTAATGAAATTATATTTAAAAAATAAGTAAATCATATCAAGACATTACACTGATATAAGAAAAACTTCACCTGTAAGGATGCATTTCGGATAAAAGCACTTGTATCAACAACTAAGTATTGCACTTTCTGTGTTGCATTCATATTTAACAATTTTTATAATATAAATCTTTCATAAGTATATATCCACGTGTTTTATAGAAGTTTAGCACTTATTAAGGTTAGTGCACGTTTCTATGAATACTATATATGGGTGTATGTTGAGCATACGAGTACACTATATTATTATACATAGTTATATTCTAAACTATATGAATTAATTTTATTTATTTATAAATCATAATTAGCAAATGTGGAAAAGAAGATCGTTTGCTAAAAAATTGTAGAAAAGAATACCATTTGTTTAAATATCAAACAAATATAGCATATTTTTTCATGTAAACAATCCCTAAAACCATGTTAGTAGTGCCTGATTGCTTAATCATATGATTAAAGATAAACAAAGTATATTATCAGATATTTTGTTGTCATCCATTTTAAATGTTTACGATTGTTCTTAAACAATGTTAACAATTGTTCTTCTTTGAATATTTAAACATTAAATTTTATATAAAACTTTAAAATAACAGTTATACTACTTACCAACTACATACTGAATAAAATCTATATTTATTTTTGTTATATTCCCTAATATTACTACAAAATTTGTTATACTTAAGTTAACGAAACTATATAAAGAAATATTCATTAAAGGAATATGAAATTATATAAAAATGTTGAGATGATCATTTGATACTTCTAAATTGTTGAGAAAAACAATAAGCAGTGACCAAAAAGTTTTTCAATTGACAAAGGGGATTCCTCTAACCAGTATGAAAATGGAACAAGAGTACATATGTCTACGTAAAGAATTCTTATCAGCTGCTGAAGGTCATGTTAATAAAATTGCATTAAATATACTTAAGGAATACTATAAGCAATCTGTAGATTCAAACCGCAAACTGAGTCAAATTAAAGATTTATCAACATTATTGGACATATTGGAAAAACGTGATGTTCTAAGCTATTATAATGTGGAACCACTTCTATATATATCAAATAATTTTTTAAATGATTTTCAAATACAAAGCAAATTAAAGAATTATCAAATTTATATTCAAAACACGCAATATCCTTTATCACGTAATATGTATCGGGAATCAAATGGTAAGTTAGTTTTAACATTTATAATCTGTTTTAGTCCAGTTTCTGCATTTTTGTCTGGGTATAATACACTTTTAATTATGCTAAATAACTTTTGCAATACATAACAGAGAATAAAGATGAAGATAAATGTAAAATATCATATGTAACTGAAAACAGATCATCACAAATAAAAGTATTTGATGATGTGGAAAATCAATCAACATTACAGTATAAAGATCTTGAAAGCAGTCATCCTACACAGGAAGCTATGTTACAACAAATGAGTAAGAATAATTTTTTTTTCTCAATACATATATTTTTATTTATCCGTAAAATTAATGTGAAAAATATTTTTTAAGTATTATCACGCATAAGTGAAAGAATTGGTCGCTCTTGGAGAGATACCCTCAGATATTTACAAGTTCCTGAATACCAAATTGATATGATTCAACACGAACATCCTTTTCACTTGAAAGAACAGAGTTACAAAGTAAAGTATAATTATAATATGGATTTATTTCACATAAAATTCTTTACATAAAAGTAACATAAATAATTTTTAGGCTTTGAAATTATATATGACTCAGTATAGTAACAACAATTGGAAAATAAATTTAATACATGCTCTAGAGAAAGCAAGACGCAGGGATCTGAAGGAAATTGTTGAGAAACTAATATTAGAATCAAATAATTAATAATTTAAAGGAAATTGAAAATAAAAAAAGTAACATGCATAAAAAGTAATTTATGTTTTTGATATATTTGTAAGAAAAACTTGGACATAATGATTTTTCAAATAATTAAGAGAATATTATTAAATATTACTATGCTATCTTAACGTGAGATAGGTTGCTGTATTTTGGATCACCACTTACAAAAGGCAACCTAGTATGTAGGTTTTTTCAAAAATCTTGTTACAGCAGTCTTTGTTGTTCATATAAGTAACATTGAAGAAGATGTACATAGAAAAACTATTCAATCAAATGTTGGGATATTAACTGTAATTGATGTATGCTATATTTTAAAAATACAGCAGCCCATATATTTTTTATAATCTATTTTTAAATTATACATTATACTGATATAAATTTTATATCAATAATATACATCTATCCCAATATACATATTTATTAGCTATTGATCAGAGATTTTACTAAGAAAATATTTAGTTATGATAAAAATGTAGATTTTAAACATTCTTCATTAAATTTTTCTTTTATTTATTTGGTTTAGGAATCTAAATTTTGCATAATATCCATATTAATAATATATGTGTAATGTTATTTGAGAAAATTTTAATGAATAGTGATAATAACATGATATTAATAGGACTTAAACAACATAGGCATTTTTTGTTTGACTCCCTACTTTAACTATAACATCTTTATGTATTTGATAGCCTATAGTAACTTTTGATGCAATTTTTAATCTTTCTCTTAATTTGCGTCTGTAAAGAGAAATGAAGTAATTAGATTTTGTACCGATAAATATTTTTACATATATATTATGGTATATGTTATATATATACAGTACAAATATATATTACTTACCCAATTTCTATAACGCTATCTTCATTATTGGCATTTGCAGTCCATACACCAATTTTATCTCCTTTTGGCCTTACGTTTACAACAGCCCCACAAATATCATCTGAATATCCATTAAACGCTTCACCAATCATACATAAAAGTGTTTCTAGCCAAAAGTGATCTAGATCTGTATTTCTTTGCTTTTTATCCAAATTTATAAGCCACCTTCCACCACATTTATTAGCATCATCTTCCCACATGGGTCTGATTCCTTGTTTGAACATACTATAGTCACAACCTTGTCTTAATTCTGATGCTGCCTTTATATGATTGTATAAACTGTTGTTAAAATATAAGTATTATTAATTTAAAAATATATATATGAATAATAAATAATCAAGTATTACTGGATTGTGATACCAAATTTACCTCCAAAAATCTTCAGCTGTATCAAAGCTTGTAATTTTTCTTTGACTTTCTTCCCATGATTTATTTCTGTCTGGTTCATAATACCAAAGAGTCCATGTATGTTGAAGTGGATGTTTAATTAAAACCTCCGGCGGGAATTCATCGAAGTTTACTACTTCTGGTTCCTTCCTCTCGACTTCCTGCAAATAATTACAAATCATAATTTCAAATTTAGCTAGTTTTCTAGCTAATTGTACTTCCTAATACTTTTTGTATCGATTTCTTTTATTTTATATAATGTAAAATGCTAAGGATTGAATTCCATGTAGCGTGCGAATGAAATTAATTAAAATAATATTAAAAATGATTTTAATATCAGTAATACAATATGTCTTTTTTAAGCTCGTTAGACAGACAGTTTTCACCATGCTTAGGAGCAGATGGGAGGGGTAAGAGTAAGAGGCAATGAAGTGACCACGCTGTCATAAAAAAAATATTTCAATTTTTTCCCCAGCGTATGAATCGTAAATACACTCGAAAGTATTATCGTGTTATTTTTACAATGCACGTAATATTGAAAAATGTTGGGGAAAATACCTCAATTTCTTCTGTATTACTAGTAGCCATGTCACACAAACTACATGCACAATATGCTCGCTCGGTGAACTAACAGCAAGGGCATCTGTCGGCAAAATTTTTTACACGAAATTTCCTTTCCCTAAGATAGAAACGTGAAATTGCATCGGCGCATCGGAGGACTGCCGCAATAAAATTTAAATAAGGTAATTAGGTGAAGAATAAAGTACTATTATATTACAATATTATAAAAAAAAAACAATCGAGAAACACGATTCTATATCTAATCTTTTTTTAACACTTTCCTCGTTTTGATGTTGAACCAATATTATTTCAGTATCGCGGGAATTTTTTTTAATGTAACGTATCATTTTATCTGATATAATGACATCGATTGCATTTGTTTCATTCTCTATTTTTTTCTTAATTATGCAATTGTTTTTTTTCCTTTTATGACATTTTAGATTTTCTTCTGTTAACAGATGTCCTAAAAGTATGTCAGAAATACATTTCAGTAAATCTATGATTGATTTATAACATTGCGATTTTTGTTACAAAGGCATTTTAAATAAAGTATTATATGTAAAGCAAATTATGTATATAATACACCTATAAAAAGCTATATCTAATTTTGTAATATGTATTATAGATATTTAAACAAAATTATACTAAAACAATATAAAAAATACGTACACAGTAGTTCAGAGTAAATTAATATGAACAAAAGCAAAATTTTGTTCAATATATATTCAACACGTTGTATATATGTAGAAAAAGCAGAAATAGATTATTTATTATACCGTAATAATTATAATAAATAATGTTGGTTATTTATTTAACATGGTCTATCTGTTTAACATAAAGAATTTGAAATAAGGGTTGGTATCCCTGAGATACACTTCAATATCCAGTGGCTTGACACTGGCGGTTGTCGTTATGTCGTACAATGTATTTACATTATAATTTAGGGAACGACATTTTTTCTCAAGATTATCAACAGTTCTATCTTCAGTATGAAACGCTCGGTAATAATTTTTTTTTCTATTTCTCGTAATTTTACAGCAATGATAATAATATTAATAATCTATATTTATTTCATAAATAGCATTTTTAAGTAAGGTTAGTTTGACAGCGGTTTTATAGAATATTTTCATGCATTTAACAAACCGGCCTAATGTTACAATACCGATAATATTATGATACTAAATTTTTTATAATAACAAAATTTGTATACATCTTCTCATTTTTAATTCATAATTGTTTACTTTTCAGGTAACTGAAGAAAATGGAGAAGCAAAGAGATCTTTTGTTAAACAAGAATGTATCAATTTTGGATACGATGGTTCCTATCCTGCTTATACTTCATCATCTTCATCCCCTTCAACTGTCACACAACCTTTACCAGGACAACCACCATTACCTCCCATGCCTCCTCCTTCTAGTGGAGTTCCACCACCTCCACATGTATTTGGACCAGTGCCTTCTCAAGTTACACCTATACAGGCATGGACACATCCTCCTGCACCATGGCAATGGATAACACCTCAAACATCTCCTTTACCCCCTCCACCCCCACGTGATATGACTGCAAATTCATTTCAAAGAGAAATGCCTCTCAGAGGTAATTACATGAGACGAGAAAGGTTTACACATAATAAAAGTAATATGTATGTTCAAAGAAATAATTTTCATCGTAAAAATAGAAGACTTCCACGTTTTGGACAAACTCAGGGTCAGTTTGATCAAGCAGCATATTTTGGTGCAACATTGAGTAATAACCTTGGTTTGGAATGGCAAAGAAATAATTACACTGCCTCTACAGGTGATACAATTATGAATCATATGCCTCTTCCTAATCATCCTTTGCCTCCTATACCACCAGGGATTTTGACAAATAGACACGGTGAAGAAACTTCAGATCAGGATGCTAAAGTTGTTCTGGTAAGATACAATAAGATTGATAACAAATGTATTTATTTTATTTAATTATTCGTTATTTATTTTAGGAAGAAGTTGTTGTTAAAAAGAATAAACAAAGAAAACCTATGTCCCAAAGTTATCCTAGTCGACCATGGAATAGAGAAGATGCAGAAAGAGCTTTGAAAATTGAAAACGAATATAACAAAACAGTCAAAGCTCAGAGTTTAATAATCAAATTCCCAGACCCTGATTTAAATAAAGATATTGTGAGGGAATTTCATCCTGGTATACAGAATATTCATTTTCAAAGTCCCAGTGGTCCTAGATATTGTTTTATACAGATGGCAGAAAATGTTGATATTGATGAAGCTATAAAGGAGTTGGAAAAAATACCCTTTGGAGTAGGTCATTTGAAAGTTGAAAGAAAATCCCTAAGGGATGAAGATAATCCCATGCCTGAAGAAATAGATCCATATACATTATACATAGGAAATTTACCAGAATCTGTTAACGTTAATGAAGTAAAAAGTAAGTTTCCAACAGCTGCTCGAGTAGATGTAGGGTATGCACAAAAAATGAGAAATACTCGGTAAGTTATTTATTTCATAAAATATGTAATAATCATATATATCTTTCTATAATATTGTATATATTTTGTTTTGTTCTATAGGTATGCTTTTATAAGGTACAATAGTGTGGATGAATCCATATCTGCTTATAAACAAGCACATGATTTAATGTGGGATACCAGAAGTATTATTGTTAGATTTAGAAGGCAGCGTGGTAATACTTGTCTTCCTGGAGAACCTAAACCTAATGTTAAAAAGGTTAAAGAAGAACCAAATAGTAATTCACAAATAAAGAAAGAACAGAAAGCTAATCATACCGAAAAAAGTGAGGCAAAACTAGAAACTGATGTAGGAAATAGAATACAAGATAATTCTAGTAAAATGCAAAATAAAACGTCATCTCAGGTCCAAGAACAAAATGCAAATTTGCAATCATCTTCTTCCTCTACACCAACTTCAATTGCATCAGCCAAATCAGCACAACAACAACAACCATGGGTAAATATACTCATATACATTCTATATATCAAGGAAATGATGAGAAAAAATGAAATAATAATAAAAATAATACCAAAACTAGATAGGGCGGACTAAAAATTAACCTTTCTTTTAGACTAGTCAACCACCTCAAATACCTTCAGCATCTGAAGCTCCTCCACCTTGTTCAGCAGAAAGAGAATCGGTTCCAGAAACGATAATGCTTACAGAAATTAAGGAAGAGCCAGCAGATTATGAAGAAATGGAATGTAATATTCGCTCTGATGATGATATAGACGATGATATAGATGATGATGATGATGACGATGAAGAAGAAGAAGAAGAAGAGGAAGAAGAAGAAGACGATTCAGATGATAATGATGATGATAACGAAGACGATTATGAAGATGAGGAGGAAGATATAGATGAAAGTAGAAATTTATCGTTAAATAATAAACGAGAAATTGCAGAAGTTAACGAACCATCTGATGTATGTAAAACATATTTAATCACTATGTATATCATTTCGGATTAAGCATGTTTATAATAGTATTTTACGTTTATTGTAATTATAGTATATATTAAAAATATATAATAAATTTTTGAGCGTATATTAATTTCCATGTTTTTTGTTTCAGCATCTTGACCAAATGTTCAGTGAATTAGAGAACATGACTGGTGACATCGGTTTTTAATTTGTTAAACTGAACTCTCATACCGATTAATATTTGATTTAAAAAAGAGGTTGATGTCACGCAGTATGTGTACATAATTCTAGTTCAGAAGTGAGATGAATGTAACGAGTGAGACTGCATTTATTTAAGTATAATGTTAGTAATTGAGTTATATTTAAATACTTTTGTACTGATATGTTTTTACCTTATAGATTTTTACGCTTACATTTGCTTAGAATATTCTTTATGTAAACAATTGTGAATATTATTAAAATTATTTTCTGTATTTTTAGTTAGATCTATTTTTTCTTGAAAACATTTTTTAACTCTCTAGGATTAGTTAGTATGAACCTTAACATTCTTTACACTTTATTTTATGAGTACTAAAAACCCTTATAGTTTTAATTAATTTATATTTTTCTTTTCAAACAACTCGTACTAAAAACTAATATTTAGTACATAAACTGGAAATTCTTGTTTTCTTTAATAATTTGCATTGCGATTTCTATAATTGCAACTTATATTTCTAAATCAAAATTTTGATATATAACAAATAAATAACATATAAGGGGAGTGTTTTTTATGTAAAATAAACAGATTGCAATTTATATTACAGTAGAAGTGTTTTAATAAATTCAAATTAAGTGAAGCAAGTATAAAATAATACTTTGCGAGAGAATCATAATTTGAAAATTAAATGTATTTCCGGTACACACAAGTGCCACCTATTTCCTACCAGTCGACCGGTAAGAAAGCGCGGGTAGCGTTACCGGTGTAGTTACTATTTTAATTGCCGATATTTATTACATTCATCAGTTGTGTGAATTAAAAGTCAAGCAAAATAGCAAAAATGTTTGAGGCACGTTTGGTACAGAGTGCGATTTTGAAGAAGGTGTTAGATGCAATAAAAGATCTTTTAACCGAAGCCACCTTTGAATGTTCTGATTCTGGTATTCAAGTACAAGCTATGGATAATGCTCATGTCTCCTTAGTTTCTCTTAATCTTAGAAGCGATGGCTTTGATAAATATAGATGCGATAGAAATTTATCAATGGGCATGAGTATTGCATGGTAAGATATTAATTTCAATGTAATATTTACAAAGGTTATGGCTTTTCTCTTTTTTCCATAATAAAATAAAGAGTAGATACTTTTAAACAAAAGAAGTACCTGTAATTCCTACCTTTTTGTAAAGACAAAATGTTTTATGTTCGTACATATATAACAAAGTAAAATTACATCAACTTCAAATAGTAAATGAAAATTAATAAAATGGTTTTAGCATGTCCAAAATTCTACGATGTGCTGGTTCCGAAGATACAGTGACATTGCGAGCATTGGATAATCCAGAAAATATTACATTTATATTTGAGTCACCAAATAAAGAAAAGCTTGCAGAATATGAAATGAAACTTATAAATATGGATCAGGAACATCTTGGTATTCCTGTAAGATTCCATATACATTAACATATATGAAATTTTTCTTTTAAAGAATAGAATTATAAAATTTATTAATTATCACAGGATACTTCATATTCGTGTGTCGTAAAAATGCCATCTCAAGAATTTTCACGTATCTGTAGAGATTTGAGCCAATTTGGAGAATCCATAACTTTTGCATGTTCTAAGGAAGGTATAAAGTTCAGTGCTTCTGGAGATTATGGACAAGGTATATCATTTTTTTACGTAATAAAACGAAATGGTAGGAAGGATTATACTAACTTATTTTTGTATGTTAATTACATAATACTTACATTAATTATATAAGCATTTCGTGTCTGTAACATCTTGTAGTTAGCACTATTCAGAAGTTATATAGCAACTGGCTGAAATTAAATGACCTGAAAAGTATTTGTTTGCTTGACCTTCACTATTATGAAGAATAGACCATACATGTATTTATGTTTATGTCTGCTTATATTTGTATATTTAAAGGAGATAATCCTTCCTGTAGTAAAATTCATTAAAATACAAATGAATTATGAAAAATATATATTGCACAATGTAGAAATAAATCTATACAATGAATATTGTTATAAATTACAGTTGTACTCATGTAAATTATTTTTTTCAGCCACTGTTAAGTTAGCACAAACAGCAGATGCAGATAATGAAGAAGAAGCAGTAGTTGTCAATATGCAAGAACCAGTCAAACTAACATTTTCATGTCGTTACCTTAATTGTTTTATAAAGGCTGGGCCTTTATGTGCACAAGTACAACTATCAATGTCTAATGATGTGCCCCTAGTATGTGAATACAAAATTGGAGATATTGGACATATTAGATATTATTTGGCACCAAAAATTGATGATGATGAAGAAAACTAAATTTTTATACACTTTCAAACTTTTAAACATTTTTTTTAGTGTATAAATCAATAACATCATAAATATAATGTATTATAGCATTGCTTTAATTTCATGTATTTTGATTTTCTTGTTCATGTATTTATCATATTATTAAAGATTAAGTATATTTCAAGATTTTACTAAAAACAGAATGATAGTATTGCTTAGATAAAAAAAAGATATATTTTGATATTCATTATTGAGGAACGATTAAGGATAATTAAAAATACTTTGAAGGTCATATATTTAAATTTTACATTTAAAAGTCATTTGGCTCGTCACAGTGTTAGCGTAACGTGGAATTGACACTTAGATTCATAATAGAGTGACACGATCATGATTAACATGGTAATGTGGTGTCATTCTTATAAGATTCATATTGTTACCGTTTGATAAACTGTGACAATATTTTGATAATATTGCGTTTTTTACATGTAAGAAGAACTCAATATATTTCCAAAACATTTGATGAATTTTGAATTATGTGTTACTTCTTATATCCTAGCCTAATTAAAGTTCAAATTTTTCACTTATTTTTAATTATCTTATTTCTTATACCTTTTGTGTATAAGCTAGTTTAATATAAAAATACATGATTAGTTTACGAGCTGAGGGAATAAGTGGGCTACCGTGGATGGAATAGCCTAGAAGTATACAGTTAAATCTTACATAATTTGGATCTCATATAGTTACTAAATAATTATATATTAATCAATAGATGTTGATTTATACTATAAATTATTTCACACGCACATACTGCGAAGACTTGTATATCGTTAATCCTTATTTTTACGCATTTAAATGAAACTTTTAATCAAAATAAATATTTTTCACATCCTGTTCTATGTTCAAGAAATGAATTTAAGTAGCAACGAAACATGACACTTTGGCAATAGTAATCAGCCTCTTTGGTTTTAAAGCCCTGGTATTGCTTTTGTGTTTTTAACATAATAGTTTCGCACTTAAAATTAAAGCCATTATTTTTGTACATAATAAAATGATCAAGACGCATTCACGTTAGTAAATTACACTCACGTACAATTATTGAATTTAATGGAAAAAGAGAATACTGAAGTTATTCATCTAAATTGTAATAAAACTAATCAAGCTGTTAATATCTGCTCATTTTCAAAGAAGATGCCACGCGCATCGTAACATTTAATTATTTGGACCAATTTGACATGCTTATGCGAGATTATCCATGCATATACTGTTCTTTCAGTCTATAAATATAATTTTAAAAAGTATGAGATGTCACGTGACATTTACTCTATGAATGAAGTATCAACAAGTAAAAGAACATGTACAATTGAAAAATTATGTAAGGGCTTAAGCATTCGTGTTGCCATTACTCCCATATAAGCTGGGATGTACATACTTGTCATGCAATGTCCTTAAATGCCTTAGTAAATTACTTTTTACGTTAAAGCCTTTTTGACAATAGGAACAAAGAAAAGGCTTTTCCCCTGTATGCGTTCTTTGGTGAATTACCATGGATGCATGGCTTGGAAATTCTTTTTTACAAATGTTGCACAATTTTTGATGACTTTGAAGCTTTCTTTGTTTAGGAGGCGCCGAGTTATTCATCACAGCTAACTGCTCTTCTGTATGTTCTGTCTGTATATGGCGTACCCATTCTTGAGGCGTTATGTACATGTCACCACAAAGATCACATTTTAAAGGTGGAAAATCCTTGCTGTCGTCATCCACTTCGCCCTGTAAAAATAATGCATACAATGATAATTTCATTCAACATCCACGATATTAAGCGATATTTTGTTGTTCTTACCTTTCTCCTTCTTCTCCTACCTTCGGCTATATCAGCGTGTGTCAATTCAATGTGTCTTACCCAATCCGATGGTTGATGAAATGTTTGACTGCACATGTCGCATGTTAACGGGGTGTATTCTTCCTCCTCATCTGCGCTATGTACGATTTCCTATAATGATTTGTATTATATAATTTTTTTTACTAAAGGAAACTTTTTACACACCTTTTATTCAAGAGAATGTTTTCAAAATACTACGTACCGGTTTTATATCGATCTCATGATCTATCGTTAATGAATCCGATGGATCATCCATAGCTTCTTCCCAAATTGGTTCATCTTTCACTAAAAGATCCAAGTTCAATTCGGTCTAAAACATGCGATAAAATAAAAATATTTTATTCGATATGATAAATTCTATTAGATGATATCATCTTACGTTTTCACCATCTTCGCTTTTAGATTTGTTAGATTCCACATCGCTGTTAGTAATTCTTCTTTTTTTCCCATTGGTTTCCAGATTTTCGTTATTCTTATTCTGTTCGATATTCTTATTTTCCTCCAAAACTTTCGATTCTGGTTCGCTAATCTTCTCCTCGATTTTCTCAGTACTCTTTCTCTCTGAGGTAGGTTTCTGAACGTCATTTTGCATTGGCGTAGTCTGTTGCGCATTTTCGACAATTTTCTCTGTACTTGGTTGAACCAATTTGATTTTTTGAATTTGACCGGTTAAAGGTGGCTGCTCCCGTTTGTCTCGATCCACCTTCTGGCTATTCGATTGTACATTCTCCTTTTTACTTCCGCTATTGGATCTCCATAAACCGCGTACACGCAGTATATCACCTGCTTTTAATACACCTTCTAATTGATCATTTGTCACGGTAGCTTCACCGCTGTACATGTATTGAATCAGAATTTTTAATGTGCGATATCCAATTTCTGTTGGTAATACCTGCAGTATAATGTTACATTATTGACTTATCTCCTATGATTTATATATTAACAGATCAGTAATGGAATGAGGAAAGATATACGAACCACAATTATTGGAGCGTTCGTATTTGCACCAAAATGACATGTTTGAAAAATGTGACTGAGATACGACGAACAAGCGGCAAGGACAAATCGATGAGCCGCCACGTGCCGGCCACAGGACGTTGCTAACAAGACATCTGCGAAGGATTCTGAATGGAGTAACGTCGCGACAGAGCTGTGCAGATGCGCGCCATAACTGTGCCATTTAAGTTGATAATTCTCCGAAGGAACGATGGCCATGTTTTCTGTATCATTAACAAACAGAAAAAAAAACATTCTGTTACAGATTTTGTTAGTGAACGATACCTATGTAGTAATACATATATTCCATTGTTGTATTTATTAAGCCTGTTGCGTCGACCGCGTTTCGTTTATATTCGTATAATTCTTGTATCGTGCATTTCTACAAAAGGAATTTATAAAATAATACACAATAAAAGATTGATAGACATTTGAAAATACAAAAAGATAACGATCTGTTTCAACGGAGCTTAATAATTCTAATAATCTCGCAAAAGTACTATTGGATACTAAGAAAAATAGTATCTCGTATATTATTGTTCCTTTAATATTTGCATACCGTTTCAATAGTAAACAAATAATTGTCATTTCATGATGACTATTATCGATTATCTGATTATTAATATTATATTTGAATATAATTGTCGAAGACACTTCGATTGCAAATTTCTTTTCTTTTAATCGAACTCGGATCGCGGCGTCGAATGTTTTCCAATATATACGTTTCCGTTACTAAAATCACAGAAAAAAACATCACGAGGAAAATTCCTTTGATTACTTATGATGCAGGTTGGCTCGATTTCAATACAATATTAAACAGATTCGAACGGAAAACGGAGCATGGATGATAATGAAATAATTACGCACTCTCTTCGGCACCCCACATTCACACCCTTATCTGAATCCTCGTTAACGTTCGTTCAACGATCGTGTGCACGTTGTACATAATGTCTTTGGAAAAAATAATCTTACGCGGGACGAAACGTCGTTGTCGCACTCGAAAATCAACGATCTTAGATCGTTTCCATAGCGAGGATCATTGATTGCTCAGCGCGTAAACGGTTGCATGATATTGCCGCTCGTCGCACGAACGTCGAACCACAAAGAACTAAAAATCTCGGCTGCGAAACGTTTTACAGCGCGTCGTTACGTTGTCAACGTGGTTACCTGACGACATCGCCCAGAACTTCGCAACGCGTCACTCGGCTTCACCTCTCTCCCGTTTTTCTTATTTTAATTGTAACACGATAATCCTCGAGATCTGCGGCACCACACAGTGTATCTCGCACGCGTCGTTGGTGTTTTGAAAGGCGCTTCGCGCGGATACGGGACACGGGGCAGATATGAGCATCGAACCGCCGCGTAGGGGCCTAAAAATCGATATTTCGGTCTTTGCTCCATCCTCTCCGGCGGTGCAGCCGTGCTCGCTTTCGCGGCTAGGTAGGGTGCCCCCTGTTCATCATCGATTTTCCCGGCTACCAATCGCACGCATCCATTTATCGCATCGATCGCCCGAGCTGATTTCAGCGTTTGCGTCCGTCCGTCCATCCGCCCGCTCCACGATTCAGACCCGTGCACCCCGCCGCACCCGACCCCTTTCCCCACACCCTGCTCCATATCCTATCCTCTGTTCAACCTCCCACCCTGAAACCACCTCGTCAGCTACTACCTTAAGCCGTATAGACGCGACTAAACGCGACCCTTCACGATCCTTTTCGTCAGCGACGCCGGATACCACGATATCACTTGGCTTGCTTCATCCACGACGCCCCAATGTTGACTCCATTGCCTGTTGATATCCCTCTATCCTTCACGTCACTTCTTGCCACTCGATCCTTTTATTATATTCGGTTAATGCTTAATGCTGCGTTGCAACTCAGAGTGCACCGATCACGTTAGAAACGCAAGATCAAAAAAGTCTATTGTCGCCCCTAGCGATGCGTTGTATATTGATTTTTTCAAATTTGCGTAATGATTTTACGACGCGGCGATAAAACTCTAGAGTTCGGGTGAGTGTAACGTGGAACTAGACGAGTGCAATTTTTGTTGTTGCTGAATTCGTTCAATGCAAAAACATATCTTCGTTTGTTGAGTTAGATGACCTTTTTTTCTACAAAAAATTTAAATTCAGATGGGGTTCTTGCTCGGATACGATAATAAGAGACATGTACGTTATTAAACGGAGCTTACCTATTGTACACTATGTTATTATATTGTTTAACGATCGATTTTTCTTAAAAACGTAGGTTGTTATTCAATACTATAGTAATGTAAATATTACCGAATAAAATGCAGCGATGTTCGCTCGAATCTCTTTGTAAATAGTTCATTAACCTGAAATGCTGGATCTATAGATCTATGAGGCAATATTCCGGGGTTAGTTTATACATATATGCAGTAAAATTTTTAGAATCGCTGCTGCTTTGTTGCTAAACATACCTGAAGATGGCGTTCACAGTAAGATTCTTCGATTTTCAAGATTCCGTTTGAAAGTGTGCATGTATATGTGACAACGTACTGCATTGCGTCGACGACCCATTTTGCAGTAGGAGCGATAAGTTACACACCTTCCTACCATTAAATAATCAATCCCATAGTTCGAACTACAGTTCTCTATGTGCATAATCAATTTACGTGTACATGGTTATTTCTTCGGTGTATTTCAATCACCATTAGAAACTTATATTATTAGAGTCAAAAATTTATTTTGTATTATTTTCTAGAAGATCTACTCCTTCGTACAAACTCTGGTAGTAATATGTAGAGTGTTCGAAGTGGTATTGCGATTTTTATGCGTTCTCGCGCTTTCAAAATCGCGATTTTCTTTTATTATCGATTTCTCGCTAAAAGCGTTGCACTTGAAATCGAAATCGGTTTCTGTACTAGGTCACGTGGCAATAAGATCACGTGGCGCTTCTGCATACTCCGTTAGAGGGAAGCACAGATGATCTCGAGCAAGCACGACGGCCAACAATCCTTTCCTGTAAATACATACATACGTTATTGTCATCAAAGTGAGGTCGATTAACTAAAACAATGCCACGGCTTCCAAAAATGTAATGCTCGTCGTGGCATTAAAGGCTATATGGAGAGTGCACAAGTGTTTATATGTCACAGTCAGAAGTGACCTAGTTTACAAATGAATTTTCGCTTCTGAATTTTCTTTGGCTATGACCCTGCAGTGAGTGTTCTTGAAGTCGGTGGTCTCCGTGAGACAGTAGCGATACTGTCTCGAAAGTGAGTTCATGGCTGTTTATAGAATGCGGAAGAAAGTAAACGATACCGTTTAATCTGTTTAGAACGAGAATTTTTATGAAATATGAATGTCATTGTGTTTTCTGCGAATGAAACAATTAGGTTACGTTGACAAGAAACACGGTCCTTTACAAGTACTAAACAGCATTATAGCATTTTGTATGTCTATGGTAGGGGTTTTGAGATGTTTTATTTATACAAAATAACAATGTGCGTGAAAGCGCACAACATTGATGTTTTAAACTTACACATTTGTGAATAATCTTTATAAAGATTAGATAAAATCAAAAAATCCATATGAATCCGTGCAGTTATCTATAAAATGTGTTACAGTTCATTGAGAAACAGCAGTAGATCAAGATGAAATATGATTGTTCGAACACTCATGTGATAATATTAAATAACCACTACACAATCCTAATGAATTATCTCTTACAAATTGGATGTTACATATTTGTACATATGAGGAGTGCATGAAGCAATTTGCTTACATTTACAAAATGCCACATATAACACGAAAATGGGAACTTTTCCCAGGCAGAAATCGATTTTGCTGTGATGGCAGAGTAATGATGGCACCACAAACTGGAGTATTTTATGTGACTGTGTGCCTCATTGCTGGAACAAGTGGATTATTTTTTGCTTTTGAGTAAGATTATTATTTTTAAAGTAGAAATCACATATAAAACGAAATCATATATATCAAAAAATTGTTCTAACAGTTTTATGTATTTTTTTCTAGTTGTCCATTCTTAGCAGTTCATATAACACCTGCTATACCAGTTATTGGTGGTCTGTTATTTATTTTTGTAATGTCTGCTTTGTTTAGAACAAGCTTTAGTGATCCTGGAGTTATTCCAAGAGCAACACTCGATGAAGCTGCCTATATTGAAAAACAAATTGGTACACACAAATATATTTCTTAGAAATAATTTTGATTAGTTTTATGTTTTAATATATTGTAAAGTTATATTCAAGGTTACATTGATTAATTTTATTATAATTAAAAAATTTGTCTTTTACATATTGGGTAAAGAGGTACCAAACAATGGTAATTCTAAAATGTACAGACCACCACCTCGAACAAAAGAAGTATTAGTCAAAGGGCAACCAGTAAAGTTGAAATATTGTTTTACTTGTAAAATATTCAGACCACCAAGAGCTTCACATTGCAGCTTATGTGACAATTGTGTAGGTATGTATACTTATCATGATTTATTATAAAAATTACTTTTATGAGAATCTAGAAATACGTAATTATATTTTTAGAGAGGTTTGATCATCATTGTCCATGGGTGGGGAATTGTGTTGGCAGAAGAAATTACAGATATTTTTATGCCTTTATCGTGTCCTTGGCATTTCTTTGTGTTTTTATATTTGTATGTGCTGTTACACATTTAGTAATGCGTAAGTGTATTAATTAAAGCAAATGAAAGATAAAAAAATTAGATGGTTTAATTTTTTATTTATTTAATTATAGTCACAAAAGACGTTAGACCATTTTTAGACGCAGTAAGGATATCTCCTGGAAGTGTTGTTGTAGCAGTTATATGTTTTTTCTCTGTATGGAGTATTCTCGGTCTGGCTGGTTTTCATACATATTTAACTACTAGCAATCAGACAACTAACGAGGATGTAAGCATTATTAATTTTAGCCAGTTAGCTGCGGAATTTAGTTTTAGAAATCTCTCATGGGATAGATAAATAAAATCAAGCGATGACGAGTATACATATCAAACACAGGGCAGATGCTCCTAAAAATATTTCAAAAAAGAAAAATTAAAGAAGAATATAAGAAATTCAGTTGGTCTTCCTATTGTGGTACTTTTCGAAATATCACACAAAGTAGCACTTTACAAATCGAACGCCAGTACCATGACACGTTACGAATTCCATTTTTTGAACAGACGGCAGGTCTTCAAAGTGGATTTACTTTTGGTGATATAACTGGTAAAAATTAGAGAAATGTTTTTTGATGAGACGTGTAGGTTTTGCAGTTCAACTCGTAGTTGGTTGACCAAGTTTCGAAGTTTGTGTTTGTTGAATTGCATGTTCTTCAATAATTTGTTCAACACATTTGATTAAAAATTTAATCGACTTAGTTTGGGGTTGTTTTTTTTATATAATACGTCTAAATAAAAAAGCACATAACGTCTATAAGATAGAGAAATATCTTCCTTAGTATTTCTATTACATAATATACAATTCGGGAATAACCGATATACCAAAGAAAATAATCTAATTTTTCTGCAATACTGGCAATATAAAGTAAACATACCATTAAATGACATTTTTATTTCTTCTCACTAAAATTTGGAGTTTTTATAGTAAATGGTAATTTTTTATTTTACACGACGAGTATACACTAAACGCACCGAAGTAAAGTTTTTGTTTGACATGTATACACGTCAAGCGCTGTTAACTGGTTAATAAATATGTATTTGAAATTATTAAATAATTTTAAAATAATTTGAATCATTTTTATAGATAAAGGGGTCATTTTCAATTAAAACAGGACAAGAAAGTTTTAATTTATATAGCCAAGGAAATATATGTGGAAATTGTTTCTATGTATTATGTGGACCAGCACCACCTAGTTTAATTGGTAATTCACTTTTAAATTCGTAGTATTCCCATCTTAATTTTTGGAGATGTTATTTACCTATATCGATTTTTATAGATCGAAGAGGTATAGTAACTCCCGAATATCGTGCAGAGCAAGAAAGAGTTGGTGGTGACAGTGTAATTACTAATAATAAAACATATGGTACAGTGAAAATCGTACAACCACAGGTATTGAAATATTTATTAATTTCCTTGTATTTTATATATACATATCGTGTTGTATAATATATTGTTATTTATATATCGTTTTTCTTTTCTTATCATTGCAGTCTAATGGTACAACTGTTCAAACAAATCCCAGCCCAGATCTCACAGGTTCCATGAACAATCTTGTTTCTGGTCAGCATTCACCACAAATTGAATCGATAAACGGTGAGTTAAGCCTTTTAAGGCATACCGCTCATTATCCCGAAGATCTTCCAAAATATCCACGTCGATATATTAATGACATTTATGCTCCGGCATATCCTCGGCAACATTGTTTTCAGGAACCTATGAAACATGTAAAGTATGATACAGAAATAACAAACCCAGATTTTCAAAAATATCCATGTAGGCGTGAGGAAAATTTACATAAATATTCTCATAGGTGTAGGGAAGAGTATCATAGATGTTCAGATAATAATTTGATATACGATCAATGTGTCGGTGATCAAAAATATAGTATTGATCTTCAAAAATATCTACAAAGATATTCTGAGGATCCTATACGATATAAAATTGATGACAAAACCATTTACACTGATCTCCAGAAATTTCCACAATGCTATTCTGAAGATCCAATACGAATTTCTCAATCTCAGCATACTCTCAAGTATAATAACTTGAGATGCACTGTTCACGGTTTAAAATATCCAATATCAAAGAACCTCTTGCCAACTGTTGTAATGTCACGAATATTAGGGGCAGGAGGAATGCCAATTATTGGTCAAAATGCAATAGGTCTTGCAGTTAACAGATTTGGTTCAGGACCTTTAAATAATACTTTTTCTTATGTAGAAAATTCTTTATGTCCAAATGATAGCACTGAAGAAGATCTTTTAAATCAGAGATTTATCATGAGCTCAATAAGCGATAATGATGATATTTAATGTTCTTTATAAGATAATTTTCTTTCTTTATGTTTCTTAAATAATATTACTCCATCTATTGAAGAAAATTAAATGGCTATAATATACTTGTTAACAAATTTTTTAGTATATTAGAATCAAAATAATATAAGTTCTAATTCTATCCTTTATTATTAGCAAAAGCTTATATAAATGAAGTTTTGATGTATATATAAATATTAGTGAAAGTAATAATATCTAAAATGACATTTATAAT